GAATACATTTAGCTAAGAAACGAAACTTGTAAATCAGTCTGACAATAATAGGAATTATAATACGTGACGGTTATTGAAGTTTTTAGTCCTAAGAAAGTGGAATACATTTAGCTAAGAAACGAAACTTGTAAACCAGTCTGACAATAATAGGAATTATAATACGTGACGGTTATTGAAGCTTTTAGTCCTAAGAAAGTGGAATACATTTAGATTGCCTAATGTGTAGTGTCACAATGTTTTATTTATAGTATACATTAAATAGAGAAATACGAAGTTAATATAGTTAAATAAGTTAAAAATAAATATATGTATTTAAAAAATATTTTTAAAACCTCTTTAAGCAAAAAATTTAAAAATTAAAATAGAGACACAATGTTCACTAGTAGGTCAGGCTCGAACACATGATCCTCAGATTGCGAGTCGAGTGCCCTAACCACCTGGCCATGCCGGGGCCGCAAAGCTACAGAATGGGCTACCTGTGTTATGCCCATCGCGGATTTCGAAGTCAGATTTGTAGCATTATATTTTCTTAGATTTTCCAGTGAGCCACTGGAGAATTAGTGACATTAAAACCTGAAGATTCGAGGCTTCATCATGCTAATATCAACGTGTAATATGCTTATACCTTACAAACATAAATTTTATTACAATTTGCCAAGAAAACTTTAGGCAAAAACTATTTGTTTTACCCCCCACTGGCACAGCGGTATGTCTGCGGACTTACAACGCTAGAAACCGGGTTTCGATAGCCGTGATGGGCAGAGCACAGATAAGCCATTGTGTAGCTTTGTGCTTAACTTCAAACAACATCAATTATGAGATACTGATGCTTTACATAGTCGTATATTTTTCATCTTACTGAAAACTGATACTTTCTTACCTGTGTGGGATCCAATGCTATTCACGACAGGTCTGACATCATCGTCGAGATGAGAATTGAACGTGTAACAGTTCCCGTAGATGACGTTATAAAAATGGGAAAATGTCATCTCTCTGAAATATTAATTTATTTCTAAAACGTCTTAAAACATGTGGATTTTATTTTAAAATTCGCCGTATCAGTAAATCTGTCATTTATTTGCAAACTCCATAAAAGAAAAACAGCTTTAGCATTCACAGCCAGCTAAGAAAACCTTTTTTTTTTTACTGAATAATAAATCATTAAGAATGATTAGGGGAGAAAAAAAAAGATTAGTGCAAACTTCTTTTTAAGGATACCTTATTTTATTGGCGTTTTAAATCAAGTTATTGTAAGCCTAATTTAACAAATTTGTTGGTCTAAGATAACTTAAGACAGATTAGCGTATAACACGCGTTAATTAGACTTGTCGATTGAGTAGACATAAATTAATTTATCAATTATAGCATCCTTTCAGCACTGGAAAGAAACAGAATATGTTGAAAAATCGTGGGAGTTTATATAACCCATATAAATTTAGATTTTGTTCAAATATGAAACAGAATTGGTTAGGAGATAAAATAACAACAGCTTTTAAGAGTCTGGAGTTTTTTGTAAAGTTACAAATAATGATAATATTGGTATCCGTTTAATATCTGTGATCTGATAATAAATCATAATAATTATTAGATAAAGAAATTAGACAACAGAATAATATAGGTGAGAGTAGTTACTAGTTAGTTCTCTCTGTTTCAAGGAAAGTTACTTACTTAATAACTCCACATTCTGTCTCCATGTTACTAGTTAGCTCTCTCTGTTTCAAGGAAAGTTACTTACTTAATCTATCATTCTGTCTCCATGTTACTAGTTAGTTCTCTCTGTTTCAAGGAAAGTTACTTACTTAATAACTCCACATTCTGTCTCCATGTTACTAGTTAGTTCTCTCTGTTTCAAGGAAAGTTACTTACTTAATAACTCCACATTCTGTCTCCATGTTACTAGTTAGTTCTCTCTGTTTCAAGGAAGGTTACTTACTTAATAACTCCACATTCTGTCTCCATGTTACTAGTTAGTTCTCTCTGTTTCAAGGAAGGTTACTTACTTAATAACTCCACATTCTGTCTCCATGTTACTAGTTAGTTCTCTACTGTTGTTTCTAAGAAAGTTACTTACTTAATAACTCCACATTCTGTCTCCATGTTACTAGTTAGTTCACTACTGTTGTTTCTAAGAAAGTTACTTACTTAATAACTCCACATTCTGTCTCCATGTTACTAGTTAGTTTTCTACTGTTGTTTCTAAGAAAGTTACTTACTTAATAACTCCACATTCTGTCTCCATGTTACTATTACACTGCTGTTTCTAAGAAAGCTACTTACTTATTTTGACATTCATTTTCCATAAAGCTGCAGTAGACAATGAAATCTTTTAGTTGGTGGCCCAGTTCTACTGTAACGTTTTCTTCTAAGTCGTAAATAGACTGAATCCTGGATAAGTCCCTTGGATTCATGACCTAGCAGACAACAGGGAGCTAAAGTGATTCCAAACTCAACACTATACTTAATAAACTACGCTGGAATACAAATTATTATTTTCTATACTACTTACATTTGAAATAAAGAAATTATCAAAGATTTTTGACAGTGATTTTGATTAACACTCATATTTTTTTTTATAGTTTCAAATCCCCTCACCTTTAAATGTAATTACGTCATCCAAACAATTAGGCTTAATAGTACTGCCATGTGTGTATATCTAGAATAAACCCAGATTTTAATAATTAGGTTTAATAGAAGTGTCATGTGTGTATATCCAGTATAAACACAGATTTTAACAATTAGGCTTAATAAAAGTGTCATGTGTGTATATCTAGAATAAACCCAGATTTTAATAATTAGGTTTAATAGAAGTGTCATGTGTGTATATCCAGAATAAACACAGATTTTAACAATTAGGCTTAACAAAAGTGTCATGTGTGTATATCCAGGTGGTTCGAGGAGAATTGTATCCAGGGAATGAAATTAATAAGACTCGATCAATAATGAATAAGAATGGACACAAATTTTAGTGTAAATCAAAAATTATATGTTGAACGTGATAACATCCAGGTCATAAACAAGATAATAGTCTATTCTAAATCCACTCGATTGATTCGTATTCTTCACTACCTTACAGCAGGAATATGTTACAGCCTAAGAAACGAGCTTCAGTCGATAACAATGCTGAATAATGGAAGACAGAATATTGCATCAAATAACCCTAAGTAAAATGGCGGCAGACTTGAAGTTATTTTACATCACATCAACATAATGGCGATTGCAGGTCATAATGGATAAACACCAACCAAAGCAAATACAGTTTGTTAGTTGGTTCAGAAGCTCGTTTCTTATACAATGTGGTCAGGAGCTATTATTAACCCTTCAAACATGCTAACAATACTCCAAGAAGGTAATAAAATAAGAACTGGGTACTAGATCGGCTTTTATAATGCTAGAATCCGGGTTTCGATACCCGTGGTGGGCAGAGCACAGATAGTCCATTGTATAGCTTTGTGCTTAATTACAAACAAACAAACTAGATCGGCTTCCATGGTGGCTAACTGAAATAGGGAGCAGACATCTTTAAGCTATGAAGACAAGGAAGAATCTGAGAGAACATTAATTTTGCTTATACATGTATTTACTCCTGAGGTCTGTCAGAACTTCCCAGGATGGCATGTCACCAGACAAGACCAATTTATTTATCTTAACACTTGGCAAACTTGGCAAACATTATCCAACAAACAGATGTAATCATCTTTATGCCATATTCAGTGTTTGAGACGATCTCTAGGGGGGAATGATTAACAACGTTCAAGGTTGGGTACATCATTTTCATCCAGAACTTGTAACTAAACAACAACAACAAAAAAAAACCTCTTCTAAATTAGTTGGAAAACTGTTTAAACTGTTCGTATACCAACTTATACAAGGGCTTACTTTAGATATCGACACATCACAATGTCAATGGATGTCTTCAAGTAAGACATCTGGTTTCATATTGAAATATCATCAGTAAAGAGTAGTTGTTATTGGATTGCTTACCGTGATGTTCATTTCTTCACAAAGTTTTCGTTTAACCAAGTAGGGCATCAGTTTGCAGAAAAAGGCAGTTTTTCTCACTCTAATAAAAACAAAATATGACCTCATTTAATCTTTTTATACCAAACACAGATGTGAAACAAAAGATATAATCATGTTACGCGGTCTGGCATGGCCAGGTGGTTAGGGCCCCGGCATGGCCAGGTGGTTAGGGCGCTCGACTCACAATCTGCGGGTTCGAATCCCTGTCCCACCAAACATGCTCGCCCTTTCAGCCCTGGAGGCGTTATAATGTGACGGTCATCCCATTATTCGTAGCCTAAGAGTTGGTGGTGGGTGGTGAAAACTAGCTGCCTTCCCTCTAGTCTATCACTGCTACATTAGGGACGGCTAGCGCAGATAGCCCTCGTGTAGTTTTTGCGAGAAATTCAAAACAAACAAATAACCATGTTACATTCTGGCCTGTCTTAATATCTGTATCGTGCAAGGATACACATAGTACAAATTTACTCATTTTTTATATACTTTCCCTATGCTGATGAGGCGTGTTCACAGTAATGAAAATTTTGTGTGTTTTTACACATAATAAGTAAATAACTCGAAATAGTACAAATATGACTAAGATGCGAATTTGTAAAATCTACGTTTATTTGAAGAAAAAAACAAAACAAAATGATTCGTCTTATTGCCGCCATTTGGTAAATTCGGTCATCACATGCGAAAACACTCACCATGTATAACGCCTCTCCATTAAGAGAACAAGGGTGACTTGATGTTTAGACAGAAAACAGTTCGTTGAAAGGTGGTTGCACGTGAAGTTTCACAGCAACTTCAAATGCAAATTTTCAAACTAAAGAGACGTTTATCGATTTGTTTTTTTTAAAGACTTTTTGGGAGATGTTTTAACTTTGCTTGTTCCCAGGTGATGGTGTATTTAGGCTTACATCTGTCAACCATGTGAAGGTGTATTTAGGCTTACATCTGTCAAACAGGTGAAGGTGTTTTTAGGCTTACATCTGTCAACCAGGTGAAGGTGTATTTAGGCTTACATCTGTCAACCAGGTGAAGGTGTTTTTAGGCAAACTAATGAGAATTAAGCAATGGCATTTCTATTTAAAATGTCTTGTAGACATAGAAAACCATATTGAAGTGTCCTCAAAATGCATCAGATTTCAACAGTTTCATTTCAATTTTAACATATTTCAAGGGGGAAGGGATCCCCTGGATCTTTCTAGCCGCCCCCCAGTGGCACAACGGTATGTCTGCAGATTTACAACGCTAGAAAAGGAGTGTCGATATCTGTGGGGGGCAGAGCACAGATAGCCCATTGTGTAGCTTTGTGCTTAACTTCAAGCAACAGCATCTTTCTAGCCTTGCTTACTTTGAAGTCTTGGGACTCGAAAGTTTTATAAACACTCCACTTTATTGTGGATGGGGTTTTAGAACACTAACTTCCCAATGCTAGTGGATAGAGATTTCAGAAAGCTTTCCAATGTCAGTGGGTGGAGGTTTTAGAACACTAACTTCCCAATGCTAGTGGATAGAGATTTCAAAAAGCTTCCCAATGTCAGTGGATGGAGGTTTTAGAACACTAACTCCCCAATGCTAGTGGATAGAGATTTCAAAAAGCTTCCCAATGTCAGTGGGTGGAGGTTTTAGAACACTAACTTCCTAATGTCAGTGGGTGGAGGTTTTAGAACACTAACTCCCCAATGCTAGTGGATATAGATTTCAAAAAGCTTCCCAATGTCAGTGGATGGAGGTTTTGGAACACTAACTTCCCAATGCTAGTGGATAGAGATTTCAAAAAGCTTCCCAATGTCAGTGGATGGAGGTTTTAGAACACTAACTCCCCAATGCTAGTGGATAGAGATTTCAAAAAGCTTCCCAATGTCAGTGGATGGAGGTTTTAGAACACTAACTTCCCAATGCTAGTGGATAGAAATTTTAGAAAGCTTCCCAATGTCAGTGAATGGTGGTTTAAGAACAACAACTTCCCAATGGGACTGGATGGATTTCCAGGACACAAACTTCCCAAAGGGCGTGGATATGGTTCCATAGCACCAAATTAACAATGGCAGTGGATGTCAATTTCTCAATACCAGTTTCTCAATGCCACTGGATGGGGTTTAAGGACACAAACTTCCCAATGGGAGCGGATGGGGATTCTTCGACATCAACTTCTCAATGCCGGTGGTCGGGAAATTTAGAAAATTAACTTTTCAATGGCAGTAGATGAGGTTCCAGGACACCAAATTCCCAGTTCACCGTACACTCGTGAGCTACTCCAATCAAATAGTGGGATTTGACCGTCACTCTTATAATGCACCCACGAATACCTTGCGGTAAACGAAACATGAACCACAGAGCCTTAGGTTCACAGTCCGATACGCTAACTACTGGGTTGTTCGGCCCAGACAAGGTTAGTAGACCTTCAAAAATACCTCTAAAAATGAGAAGATGTTCATAAAAACTATCAAAAAATATCTGCAAGATGTTTAGTCTGTTTTAAAACTAACCTTCGCTCATAAGCAAATATAATCATCTCACTAAAGTTGGTTTGTATTCCGCTCTTGAAATTTTGTTCATTAAATTTTCTGCACAGTATTATCTTTTAAATTCAAAAATTAGGAACATTTTAAAAAACACAAGTAACTTTATGTGTGAATTTTAAATTTATTTCAGTGTTTGTCGTTCGATTCACAAGAAACAAATTAACAATCAACGAATTAAAAAAACGTTACTTACGTGTTCAGATTGCATACGGTTACTGCAGGAAACTCCAGGGTGCGCTCTGTTTGAACTTCAAGTTGCACAACGGCAGGGTACTGTTTGTAAGCGCGGAAGAATTCCAAACTCTGGTATACACAGCCTACAATCCCTGTGATCAATACCACTGTCCAAACAAGACTTCGTACATAATTCTGAGACATTCCAATCTTCGAAACCCCGTTCAGAGAAGAGTTGAGTAGCATGTTTCGGAAAAACTCTTGGTAAGACACGTCATTGGTGAAATTCTTAGTCCTTGAAGATGATTGGCTAATAGCTTGGATAGGAGCGCTTGAAGGATGTTTCATGAGGGGTGGTGCCATGTACTGGGGAGGGGATTCAGTTTCTAAACCTTTCATTTCAGAGAAGTTGAATAGCTTTATCTAGAGAGATTTTTTAATTACATTATTTTTTTTTTGTCAAGACCAACATTTGAATATCAGAAACAATAATTTACTAACCCTATAAATAGGTCGGAGACCGCCTTATCGAAAGTCATGTTATTATTTTGTTAATTGCCTATTGCACATATATATTCCTATTATATGTAT